ATAATAGTTTGGTTAGTTAATACGTAGTAAAAAGGATTGTTATTACGAATAATTAACTTGTTAAAGAGCGAATGGGTTTTATAAACGGACCACCGTCTCACTTAATGAGAATTACTAGCAACATAAGAGTCACGGTATACTGACAGTTCTGTTAGCGTCCTTATTGTTTTCATACAGGAAAGTTTATAAAGATGTTACTTTTTTGCAGAATGTGCAATCCAAACATTTCTGAATGGCTGATCATTGTGGGAACTGTATTTCTCTATTTTACGTCTCTCGCAGAAGCTCTGTGTTGGAATAATACAGCGAACTGCATTACCCATAGTTCTCTGCTGTTGTGTGAGCCGTAGAGGAGGAGCGTGCCGGGTGTGCAGGCTGTTACCGATGGGAAGATGGTGGAAGCTGGAGCCGCAACGTGCACGATCCTCCGTCCTAAACATTTCCAGAAACATTTACCATCACAACCTGGCATTAGATATCGGTTACCTGGGGACAACCATAGATAATAAATACTAAAACTAAGACTGAATTCTAAGTATTTTGATTTAGGTGTGAGGCGCACCTTGCGTTGGTGGTGCCTAAAGCGTGGGGCCAAACTGCACAGATCACAGTATTTTGATACTCTGGGAAGGATTTCTCGGCTGGGATTGTTGATAAACTGTTGGCTGACTACAGCCGCTTGTTCTCTATAATCTGTCTCCTTTGGGCTTCGGTGTTTTGGAGCGGCTGTCAGAATGCCACGAAGCAAAAAGGGGAAACGCGGTGGGAACAGTTCAAGTAAGGGTGAGTTTAACACCTGCTGTCACAAACAGAATAAACATGGTCACACGACAAAATATCACCAAGCAATATTTTTGTGTTTTCTTCCAGCAGCATATCCTTAAAACTAGATCAGTGTACTTGCATAATTGCAAATACTTGTTTTCATAACATTTGTCGGTACATGGAACTATTGTTTTTAAAACACTGGTAAAGTATGTTTTATTGTAAGCATAAAACCTCACTAAATTATCGCATATTTATGCTAAAACAATCAAGTAATGTAACATTTAAAAATACGACTACATGTATGCTTGTTTGGGTGACAAATTGCCCAGCTGGAAACTGAGTCCCCCCCACCCCCCCCCCCCCCCCCCATCCACCTCCGCCTTTTCTACAAG